TGGACAGGTTCTGATGAATTCCTGCCCTATGACCTAAGTAAAAGAGAAATTGATGTTTTCCCTTTTGTGGCTGATTAAATGTCAATTTTGATTTAAAGTTGGAGTTTTAAACCAAATTCAGATAATGGCTTCTTAGACTAGGAAGGTAATTTGAAAAGAAGCATGTGACAGAACTAAGGGTTAGACAAGTTACCAGCTTGTCAAATGAAACAACTGGTGTCACATCAAATATATATTCCATTTGACTAATGTCTTTGAGATACCTATGTTTGTTGTGAATCAGATGTTTGAGGTCTATAGGAAGAACTTATTTCCATTTCTAGCTTCTTGTGTGTTTTTTATGGCTTTTAAACTTGTTTTGTATTTTGATGTTATGAAAGCTTCAATACCAATTTCCTTTAGTTTTTTAATGGTATTTATAAAACTTACTTCATAATTGTGTCTTTTTTTAGGCATTATTCATAATTCTACTTTTTGAAAGTGTTGATAGTGCTCTCAAGCCTAGTATTTAAGCAGACTTATATTTTGAAACACATTGAACAGGACACTTAACTTTTCACTATTGCATGGAAGTATCACCAATACCACGTAAGACCCTATGTGGTCTGACAGATGCCTTCTGAGAAGCTTCTCAGGTAGTGGACACTTGTACAGAGTTTGAGTGACAATTCTGAAAAAGCTACATGACTGTGTTAAAGGAGTCTTCCAAGTTTTGAAGACCCCTTCTCCCCTCTACAAAATCCTTTTCAGACAGCCTCATGTTCTTTTGAGATGAGGAAATGAATAATGGCTTAATTTCCAGCACCTAACCAGGGCGCAACTACCTATCTGTAATTGCTGGTGACAGGAAGGTAGTTGTTTTCCCAGTTATACTTGGCAACCTCTGTGAATACTTCCAATTTTACTTGTAGAATTTCATCATGTAGTTAAGAAGTGCTGCTTAAAAAGAAGTTTTAATGAGATTGTCAAAGCGTTTTTCTAGTATTCATCTCCTTATTATGTGAGACCTGGAGTTTTGCTGTAACTCCTTCATCTCTCAGTTAACATTCAGTAAAGTACACCACCAAATTAGTAATTACAGGCTGAGCAATGTGTCCCAGTCAGTTACAACTGCAGGATAGCAACTTTGCTAGGGGTGGGGATGGAAGAAAGAGGAAATCTGTGGGCCAGATATGTGCAGGGATGTCACTTAGGTTTTGGTTTTTGTTTTGGTTGGGTTTTTTTTGGTTTTTTTTTACAACTAGAGATTCTCTTCAGATCTTTAACTACTTAGTCAAAATTAATCTTAACATTTAGCTTATTTAAATTGTTTCAGGTAGGATCTCTTGAAAATTTTAGCCTGATCTACAAGAGTTTATATAGACACTGTGTTCTATATTGTCTGTTTCTGAGACTGTCTGATATTATTGTCTCCTGATTTTTTAGTGTGAATTTCCCTCCTGTATTAGTGGAATTTCTTACTAATCTGTCCTTAGATTTCTACTTTCTTTTTTTCACATCACTTCAGGTTGCTTTTTTGATCCTACTTTGCTACATATTTATCTGCTTTCTTGTTTCATTGCCTCTATTGTACCTGCCAGTTTTCACTTGAACTTAATGTATCTAAAATAAACAAGCTCTAACTCCAGTTCCTTCCACTTGCTGTCTTCTTTCTAATTCAGATCTGTGACTTCATGTTCATCTGTATTTTTTCCCCCTCACACTTCTACTGAGCAGGAGAAGGATTTTGGTACAAGACGACTTCCTTTTTTCCTGATGAGAATCTTGGCTTCTGGTTTGATGCCTGTGGCAACTATCCTCTTGTATTTTAATGCACTGGGATATGTTCCTCATGTGAGGTAATCCCTACACAGATATTCCATTGCTACCTCAGTGTTGATCCTGTTCCTTCAAAACCTTTTCCGACTCAGCTGTGTTTCAGTGCAACATGCTACAGCTTGTTCCACTTGGCTGACATTACCATATGAGCTTGTAGTGACACTAGTCTTTCTGCCCTTTTTGTGCTGTCTTCCTGGAACTAATCAGTACAGCCCCTGGCTGCTTTAAACTCCAGATTGGCACTGCTGCTGTGGCATAGTTGACTAGTGACAGCTGAAGGAAGGGAATATTACTGTGTGCAGAAGAATCAGTGCCTGGACTTCTTAAAGCTGTTTCAAAATAGTTTGAAACTCCTGGGCTTCTTTTTATATGCTGTTTTCTTTTACATGGCCTTGTATTACTGAATTGTAGAGTCTTTGCTGTCTTTTGGAGAAGTTGGAATGTAGATTTCTGGTGTGTTAGTAATTGTAGTATGGGTGGTAGCTGTAAGCTGTCAGCTTCCTCAATCGTTTTCAACTTCCTGTTTTGAGAAGGTGATTTATTAGTGTTTAAGGATATATGAAATCATACTGGTAATCTTCAGTCTTGAAGCTGATGTACTGCCAGTCAGGGCCAGTTACATTGCTGTAGAGTGCATTAATGGCTACAAAAGGGAATGCATCTCTTCTGGAAAGCTTTTTAGCTAAGGAGGACCTATATCTTTTGGGCCAAACAGTAGTTTGACAGAAATGATCACTTAGCTGCCTGAAGTTATTTGTGCATGCTTCATAGTATCTTTTCTGTTCTTTGTCTCTACTGCTGGGGAGAAAGGAAGTAGTGGAAATACTACTCTGATTCTTAGCCTTGCCCTTGGTCTAATTTTTTTAAATCCAAATTAGGCAAAGCAAGTAGAATTAAGTCAGTTTCAAAAGTTGAGATTAGCTGTTCTTTGACAGATGAGAAATTAAGATCACTGCTTTTTAATAATGTGACTTTGTAATTGCATAGTGTGCAAGAAACTACTGAAAGAGCCATTGTATTACTGCATTGGTGCACATGTGCTTGTCATGAGGTTGTGGGGTTACATGAAATGTGTATGTTCTTAAGTTCTGTCTTTTCTTGAAATGTAAGGTGTGAAAGCAAAGTAAAAAAATGTGATTGGAAAGATGCGAGACAATCTGCAATATGTGTTTGGTTAGAAAAGGAGGTGTATTTAAGCTTAAAATACCAGGTGCCATTTTATTAGGGTAGTATTGTAGGTTTGTTGAAGATACTGCTTTTGTGTGTCTTTCAAAAAGGACATGCACTTCAGTTTCTTGCCTCTTACACTGGGTATAACTGTAAGCACTTCAAATGTGCATGGAACTTCTCAAACACAGCAAGGCATGTCAGCTATCCACAGAGCTAGGAGTCTAGCCTGTAGAGCATGAAAATTGGCTTTGTTACCTTTGACACTTCTTTGTATTGTGTAATGTACCTCAGGACAGAAAACAGGCAAATGCTAAAAAGACAGTAAGTTTGAAGTGTTAGAGAGCTAGTAAATGTTAGACTTTATTTTTGGCTATATACAGATAATCACAGTACAATTTGTGTAATTGTTTACATAGAACTGTAAAAATTGAGTGGCTCTTGTGCTTTCCAAGGATTTTCAATGTTAGAAATACGTGATGGGCTCTTAGCTTTTCTTATGGGCAGAGAGGGCTTGTAAAGATTTCTACAAATTCTGTTTTAATGACCAGCATGATACTGGCCAGAGCATAAGCCACATGAACTAAAGTATGTGGCAGTGGCTATTTGCATTGTAAACAAATTTGAGAGCCTGGAAGGTACTAAAAATTATCTCTCCTGCATTTGCAAATGTAACATTCTAATTTCTGCATTTATGAGGGAAGAGTGTTTCAGAGTGTACTTTGAATAAAGCAGCCAATGTTTTGGGCAAGATATTTGTAGGGCTTTTATAAACATGCTTCTTGGGGAGCCTTTGTAAGAAGTGACCTAAAGGGTAGTAATTTAAGAAAAAATCCCCAACTTTAAAAGCTGTTAATAAAAAAATATTGAATTCAAGTTCTAGAATTACAGAGGATGGATCAGCTAATAATCTCATAATAGAGCTGTGAGAAATAACTTGTGTGTCACTGATGTCATTGGCATAAAGGAACCAAGAACTCTTTGCTGTCCGTTTTGTATGGAAACATGGATGACTAGGCTGTCAAATGTTCCTAAGATACTCCAAGTCAATATGGCTGTATGTGACACACTGTATGAAGTCCATCAGTCCTAGAAGAAACACTCATTTAACCATTTCTGCATATGCGTAACTTCTAGTCAGAGCTGTAGATCTTGCAGTTCACTGTTGTCTTTGCCAAAGCATAATTCCAAACTTGGTTCTAGTCCAAAGAGAAGACTTAAATATCCTTATTTTGAGTGTGTGATTGATTAGGACTTTTCCTTTAATCTGCTTATTGAGGAAGAAGAAGTTTTAAGCTGAACTTCTGTAGCTTTTAAACTGGAGTACTTTTTTCTTCAGTCATGGAATGCTGATGGGCAAAAGCCTCAGCATGTCCTGCAGAACAATGTCATCTCATTGTTTCTCTCTCCTCTTTGCAGATTCTCTCTTGTTCCTTGTTTTTAATGCTTGACTGTATACTCCTTAGGTCAGAGATAGTCCCTTTGTTCTGTGTTCAAAGGAAAACTAAAGGATCAGGTTCTAGGATACAAATTGAAAGTAAAACAAAATGTTTATTGTTCAAGGCTACTGATGTGTTCTATGCACTTTACCATTGTTCCTTGACTGTTAAAATGCTTATCATTTGCTACATTTTTGAGTTTAGGAAACAGTTGCGTATTGCATAGTGCGTTATTATCTTTTTCAGGTGTGTTACTGAAATCTAAAAAGAGTAATCCTGATTTTTACATTTATGTCACATAGCGAAATTGTCCATATGCCTAATGTGTCTGAAAGTATATTAGTTGGTATATCCCAGTGTAGCAAATAGGCATAATTTCTTGCCTCAAGTCTTTGGGTAGCCATATGTTATCAGTATTACACTGTATTCAAATATATAATGTAAAGGTAAAACTTGTGCTTTCTTTGTTTCTTTGTTTTTGGATTGTACTGTAGATGTAGCATAAAAATAGAAATAATGTAATATGTGGCATTTTGTCTGCATATATGTATTGTTTTTTCTCTTATTTTCAGGTTATATATGTCCCCAAAGAAGAAACTGACTCCAGTGCAAAAATGTGTCAGTCCATTAGTTTGGTGCAGGCAGGTATTGGATTACCCAAGTCCTGACATTGAATGTGCTAAAAAGTCGCTGATCCACAGGCTGGAACAGACAATGTCAGGTGAGTTCCTGCATACTAACACCACCAGGTTGTATATATTTATTCTAAACTAGTTAGAATTAGCTAGTAATAGTTGTGAGAGAAGAGAGTGAGATCCAGCAGTTACTTCTGTCAAAAGCTTTCATTTGGTTTGCAAACTAATTCATTCTACTCGTTTTCTGGACTATATGAGTAGAAGGAGAAGAAGCATTGGACCCTGACTTTTATACTACCTACACAGTTACAATTTGGTCAGAAGTTTTCAGGAAGAAACAAATGTCCTTAACTTGGAGGTTTTCTTGTCTTATTTTAAAATAGAATCCTATATTAAATTGTTACATTAATTGTTACATTCTTGTCAGTATGTTAAAATGGAAGTTCAATTTTTCTACTAGGTAAGGTTTTTTATTTCATCTAAAGAAACACAGGCTGAAGTTCTTGAAGACTTTAGGGAGGTAATACTGATTTCTGTCCCTCCCATCTCTGGTTATTTCCAATCTGTCACAGTCAGATATAGAAATCCAGAGTTCGTCATTCTTGCTTGGTACAAGTTGGTTATAATCAAAACTGTTGAAGGACTGAGTGTTTGGCCTTGTGAGGATGAAAGCCTACATTCTCCACCCTTTTATTCCCAGCTTTTTTAAGTCAAACCAGCAAAATTATGAAGGTCTGATTAGAATTATGTCCATCTGCTTTCTTGCTTCATTTTTTAATTTCCTTGTTAAAACCTATTTTAATTTAAAAAATTATGCTGAGAGAACTTGCTTTCTTGCTATCAATATCTATGCTCTCCCTGTATTACCATCTTTTTGCAGTCTTTAACTACATGTGATCTTATTTTTTAAACTGTTATCTTCAGGAATTAGCAGAGTGGCTGGACTTGAGCTAAGAATATGTGAACAGACAGTTCTAGGAGTGTTCCTAACCACCAGTTCTACATAAACTTTGTGCTGACTTTATTTAATGTTTTCCCCTTCTTGGATTCTTTTCTGGAGCAACTAAGTCTTTGTTTTGCTTTGTATTAAAATTGTTCTTAATAAAATGCAAAAGCATTGCTGGTAGATCACATGAAAAGTCCATTTCTTCTTATTATAAAACTTGTGGGCATAATGGTGAAAGTGCCTTCAGTATGAGTCACCTTTCACCTTTCTTGTGCTTTGTGTATGCTGCCTAGGCAAATATCTATTAACAATTTTCCTGAACAGTTAATGTGATACATAGTTTGCTACAGGCAAAGACTAAAATTATAAACAATGAAAAGTACCCAGATGACAGGGGTTTATGAATGATGGTATGAGTTGGGGAATTTGAATACTACTGAGTATTTAGGACTGGATAGCAGTTAGTTAGCATGAACAACACTATTCATGTTTTAACAGCTTTTCAGAACTATGTAGAAATCTTCCAGATGCACCACAAATTCTGTTACCTTTAGGGTATCTTTAAAAAAATCAGTCATAGGTGAAGCAGAGTGACAAGAAGCTTCCCTGTGAAATGAACAAACTTGAAAGTTTGATCATTGAAATGAAGTGTCTAGGCAACTTTACCTGTTTTTTTCTGTAGACTGAGACATAGACATTTCCATAGATGTAGAATTTGCTTCTGGCAGTGATCCTTGCAATAATTAATCTATAGTACTAGTAGGTTAAAATGTTAGCTGTAGAAGAGATGGGCACTAATACTGCTGGTTGGAGCAGTTTGCATGGAAAAATGAATTTGTAACAAAAAAGAAAATTGTCCCGTAGAACAACTAGCCTACTCAAAGACATGGGATAGCAGGAAGCTTCACTAGAGAAGGCAAGTAGTGCTGCTTATAGCCTTGTGTATGTTTCCTACTCTACAACTTCTGGAATATCTTGTGACTTGTATTTTACATGGTACTGGTACCTCATGTACACATCACTTAAACTGAACCAGTAACTAGTAATAGGTTATCAATTTTAGTTCTAGTCTCTGTGGAAAACTCTTTTCATACTGCTGTTACTTTCTCTGCTGAATCTTTGTTTCTTTTGCCTTGACTGTTTTTCTCTTCCAAAAGTTACTGAAATCCCTGTTGGAAAAACTTCAGGAATCCTAGGCCAGAAAAATGTCTTGGATCCAGTTTTTTTTTCTGAGGAAAAATACAGTGCTGAGGAAGGTAGTTCACATTAGCAAGGATGAAAACTGCTGTAGTATATAAAGTGTCATCATGTACCAGAGTGTACTTTTTATATGTAACAAAAGTATCCTTTCTTTCATCTGAAGAAATCTGTATGTGATCAGATATTTTGTATCGCTATGGATATGTAGAAAGAGCATGTTTTGAACATTATACAGTAGTACAATTGTTTTCTAATTTGTGGCTAATATTTTAAAATACTTGTCTGTGTAATTAGTACAAAACAAACTGTTGTGCAGACTTAGATTTTAGGGTTTTTTTATTGTCATTTTCGGCAAGAGATGAAATGTAAGTCTTTTTGGCTTGAGAACAAAGGTTCAGTTGGAATAGGTGCTTTGGGGTTCCTGTGTGAATGCCAGAATAATTTGCTGTCAAAGGAGTTATCTCATAAGTGAAGCAGAATGCAACTGGCTTGTAATTACTGGTTTTGTTAATTGAGCTTTGAAATAAAATTGAGACTTCCCATCTGACACTCAAAATAAAGTCGAGGTACCTCAATAATGCTTGCTAAAATTCATATAATTCACTAATTGTGGAAATTGGTGCATATAATTTAAGACTTGCAGTGAAGGCTGGAAAACTTGCCATCCTCTGTCTGTAACTGTCTTTTCACTCTAAAGCACTAGTAATATTAACTGGTTTAAACTCCAGAAATTATCTTTATGTGAGTTGCAATTTAAGGAATCTGCTGTAAAGTTTGCTTTAATTGGTGCTGCATTCTGCCATCCATTTGTTTGGATATGTTTTTTTGGGCAGTAATAACTAATTAACAGTTATAATCAGTTAAAATACTCTAGATGTGTTTAACCTAAATCCACCTTAGTAGGCTGGATAATAGTGCAGCTCCACCATTGTTTGTACTGAACAACTGAGAAGATAGTGACCAAGAGCAAAGTGGGGTGGGAGAAGGAGCTGACACAGGTTTTGCTGCTGAAAGCAGCATTTCACACAGCTGTAGTTCCATTTGGTTTCTTGCAGTGTCAAACCAGCAAAAAAATCTTAGAGTGAATAAAAGGATACTTAGTAAACAAATTGGAATTCAGTTGCTTTTTTTTGGTCAACTATTACCAGTAGCCATTGAAGCCCTTTGTCAGTAATGGAAACATCACACAATATTCTTTGAATACCTTATTTTCTGCTTTTCTTTTTTTTTTTAGAACAAGTTGGGTGTATTGTCATACATTTGCTAGGCCTATTATTGTCATTTTGTAATAGATATGCATAGTTTCAATACTGTCATGCCTTAAAGAGAGTTTAGTTTCTAGCATGTAGTTGAGCTGCAACTTAATCTAATCTAGTTGTGCATATCATAAAGTTTATATCTCCAGCTTTCAGTTTAATGTTTTGCAATTTAATTTATTTGTTAAAATACAGCTCTGGTTAGCATAAAATACTTTTAGCAATGAAGGAACTGATTTTACCAAAAGTGACCAAATTTTCCTTGGTTCCAGCTTTCCTCATTGAATTTCCATTTTCTGTTAAAATTAAATGTAAATTTCTGCACATTTAAGTAACTATACAAATCATACACCTGAAAATAGGGGAATTGCAGTATCATACTGAAAATGTTTGCCAGCGGTTGAAATTAATCCGAAAATATTTCAGCATTAAAATATTTACAATAAAGAGCAGATGAAAGTAAAGAATATTAGATCTTACATTGTGTATGGGGTTGAAGCTCAGACATAAAAATGCAAAAGTGTTAGAACAGGAGGTATAAAGAAGGGAATAATCCTACAGTCAGTTTGCTTCATTGTGCCTAGTAGGTTTGTGATGCTCAAAAATACAAACTGAAGCATTTGCCATGGTTAATGTTTTTTTAATTTTGCCTTATGATTTGGAGAATTTTGTAGGTGGTATTGCTCAGCTCTGTGGTGCCAGTCTTGGGGTTACTTTTTGAAATACTGTGTCATTTAGATAGGTCTGTGAATTCTGGAGAACTTGACATGATGTCAAGAGTTTAAAGTAGCTTAGCTACTACAGTCTTTTGAGTTGCTTCCCTCCTGCCTCTCAATGCCTACTTTGAACATCTTGAAGAGATCAGTTGTAGTGATCTCAGATCTGGTATTTTTTCAAGGGAAATATTTGTCACTATCTTGTCTTGCCCTTCTCTCCCACTCCTTCCACAGTGTGGTTGTATCCAGGAGACGAAGTAATCAGTTGAAAAACTTCCTGGTAAATTAAATGTTCTACATGAATTGTGTAGTAATTAAATCACACTGAAGGTACCATATAGTGTTGTATTTATTTTTCATTAGTTCCTTCAGTGTAATTTGTCATTTTTCATCTCCTTTACACAGCTCTCAAGAGACAGAGTTTATACAGCAGCCCTTTCAATGCGGTCAGTTACACGAGCTCCTACAGTCCAAATACTAGTAGTCCCTACAGCAGTGGTTTCAACTCTCCCTCGTCAACACCAGTAAAAGCTGCTTTAGTGAAACAGCTCATACCTCCTGGTACCTCAGGTAAGCATGTGCGTTCTCTCCTTTTCTACTTCCTCCTCTTTTTTCTTTCAAAAATGTCTTGGATTACATTTGCCTTGAACTAGAGTAAGAAGAGACAACAAAAACCTAGTCTGTTGTCAGATGTTTGCATTGTGCAGTATTTGAACTTTTTAGGAAGGGGTTTTTTGCAAACTTTCTGGCATGAGATACACTAAGAATGTATTCTCTGGATGTCCATGTCCCTAATATCACTGATACATATTAGCAGTTAGACCAAAACATGTAGCATTAGTTCTGTAGAGTCCTGACATACATAAGTGGCTTCTAAAATTGGCCCCATAATTGACTGGCATGTAAATTGTCTAGTAGGTGTTTAAAGAATAGCCATCAGTGTTAAAGTCTTTGCAGCTACCCTATTACTTATTAACTGAAATACTTGGTGTGCATTGTGTCCATCTGAGATGTGAACAATATAATTTAAGGAAGAAGCATGTATTGTAATGAAAAGCATCCCATTAGGCTCTGCAGTCATCAGTGTAAAAACTAACTTTTGGTACTGTTTTCTGCCTTTATTCTGCACCATGGACACTTCCTTTGCATTGGAAAAATCGATGTCGTAAACCTCTTTCTACTCTGAAATCAGAATGTTGGCTTTTTATATATACTTTACTTCAAGTTAGCTTGCAGGGAAGAAGAAGAAGAAAAGAATTGCACAGACAGTCCAAGTATCTGTAGTTTGCTGTGGACTTGTAAAGAGAAGCCTGCTCTCCAGGATCCAGGTTTTGTTTTAATCTGTGTAGCTCTGCTCTGCATTGTGTGCTACAATGCTATACCTGCCTGCAGGAAAGAGAGATCAAATGTAACAGGCAATGGGGCATTAGCCAGAAGGCAGCAAATTGGAAGAGTTTTTCTAATATATTTAGCAAATGTATGTATGTAGGTCAGATAGTATTATCAGATAAACTGTGGCTTAAGCATTCTAAACTGAATAAATATTAATTGGATCAGCAAGTCATCATTGTCAAGAAAGATACAGTCAAACTTTCATCTTACAAGGTAGTGATACAGGGATGAGAATCAAAGCACAAATAGAACAGGTATGCAGTTGCTCTTTCTGCAAGAGCTGTGCAGACTTCATAGCAGTTTAAATTTGGTAGGGGTAGATCAGATATACTTTCAGCCTAGGTTTGCAATCAAATGTTTCAAATGGTCTGTGAGACTGTCTCAGTCATAATCTGCTTTCAGATTGGTGGTTCTTTTACTATGAAAGGAAATACAGCTTGCCCTTTTTTTTAACTTTTCCTATTAATTTTCTTTCTGTAGGTCACCTTAAAAGTTCAGCAGATAGAAATCCTCCACTAAGTCCACAGTCCTCTCTGGACAGCGAATTAAGTGCATCAGAGATGGATGAAGACTCTATTGGGTCTAACTACAAGCTGAATGATGTTACAGATGTGCAGATTTTAGCACGAATGCAGGAAGAAAGTAAGTATCTTCCATCTGGAAAAAAATAAGTGCAGTTGATTTTTTTTATTATTTTTTTTTTTTTAGTTGAATAACAGCAGTACTGTTTGCTTACTGGGAATGGAAAATGGGTATAGATTCTACTGTGGGTGTACAAATGTAGTTCTCCTGAGAAGGCTGACTAAGGACTTGTGCCTCCAGGATGAGGAAAGGAGGTTGCTCTGCAGAAGTGTTCTTCAGTAACGGTGGACAAAAGAGATGCTGGAGAGAGTATGGATTGTATCATACGGTATAGCCTAAATGGATGGTCATTAGACTGGACCACTGCCCACCGCCAGTCTTCTCAGGAGAAATGTGCCTTCCAAATGTAATCCAGTCATGTGGATGTTAGTTTTTGAGCCATGATTTAAATCACCAAAATGTAAAGTCAGTATGGCAAAAAGTAGTTAGGAAAAGCACCTATGTAGATGTCTTTCTTTTATTATAGATTTAGTTGAGACTTTGTCAGTCTTATTCCTCCTGAGACTTCAGAAAGTGTTAGTAATATGTTATCTAACTAGGTGGTCACCAGACTTTTCCATTGTGTACCACTTCACTGAAAAAAAAAAAACCACCAACCCCCAAACACCCTATATATGTATGGTTTTTTTACTCTACTAATATATTAAGTACACAGAAATACATAAATGTACAAGAAAATAGAATTTTTGAAGGATGATATAAACGTTAAATAAATGCAATTTTAAAATAGTAGTAGTACAAAATTTTATTCCTCCTCCCCAGTGGATTGTTTTGCCTATCTCGCGATGTTTGTGCACCCCACTTTGGAGACCACTAGTCTAACAACTCCTGTTGCTCTAGGGGTAGCTTATGTCATATAGCTTTCTTTGTTATATTTACTAATATGTTGCAAGTGACATTGCACTGTGGCCACAACAATTATTACAGGATGTTACATTATATTAAAATTAAGGCTAACCTGTGTTGCAAATACCCAGCCTGGGAGAGGAGTTGAACACGTACACAACACGCCTATATTGATGATTGCTCTACTAGGAAGAGGAATGAGCCCACCTACTTATTTCAAGACAACAGCTGGCAGATAACTACTTCTGATAGTAATCTGGAATTACTACCTCAAATAAAAGGGGTTGATGTGCGTTATATGAGTTTGAGCACTGGATATATATTTGTATGCACTGTCACTAGTTTGAACCATTTGTGGGCTGGAAGCAAGTAAACAATGTTCTCTTTGTTGCCAGGCCTCCGACAAGAGTACGCAGCAACTGCTTCTCGGCGAAGTTCTGGTTCTTCTTGCCATTCCACAAGGCGAGGCACATTCAGTGATCAGGAGCTCGACGCACAGAGTTTAGAAGATGAAGAAGATGGCACACATCACACAGTGCACCCTGCTGTCAACAGGTTCTCGCCATCACCTCGCAGTTCTCCCTGGCCTTCACCAAAACAATCTCCAAGAAATTCACCTCGCTCCCGGTCACCTGCTCGAAGCATCGAGTACAGCCGAGTGTCGCCCCAGCCTATGATTAGCCGTTTACAGCAACCTCGTCTCTCTCTTCAAGGCCATCCTACAGATTTGCAAACTAGCAATGTCAAAAGTGAAGGTAAAAAGCTCTGACTCTTAATTTATTGCACAGGTAGTTGTGTGGTTCCTGTGAAGGATTTTGGTCAGTGTGCAGTGCTAAAACTATATGCCTAAGTAACATCATGGTTTAAATCTCGGAGTCAAAGCAAAAGCAGAGCAAGCAAAGCTTAAGTTGTGCTGGTAAGCTCTTACAGTCAGATGAGTTGATAGGCTTGTATTTATTTTAGATGTTATCCAGTCACTCTGGGTGTAATTGAGTTTCATGGTGACAGAGTTCTATCTTTGGCAGGCAAATGCACTAAAATAAAGCAGGGCCCAAGGGAAACTTGTTCACCAGTAGGTTTAGGCCTTGCAGATGACAGGGTAAAATGCAGGGAAAATAACTTTGGTCAGATAAGAGTAACCTTGCAATTTATGCATGTTTGTAGCCTCTGAGATAGTTGAATACTTTCTTCTAGTATTGTAGGACTCTGATCTCCCCAAGTGTCAATGTAGCCTTAAAAATATTAGTACTTAAGGCATGATTTTCATATTTCTAGGTATTTCAAAGCTGTGCAAATTGCTGTGTAACAAAGTTACACTTGTCATAAACTTGACACAATTCTACTATACTGGCATAGAACAAAGTAATGTGTAATCTTGAGATCATTTTTATTCCTAAATGTACTTTTTCCTGGTAGCAATCTGGCAGAAACTCCTGGGCTGAAATTTCACAAGCATATTCCCACTTCAAGAAATGTAGTTGTTACCTGGCAAATAAAAATCTTAAATTTAGAAAGAATATATGTTTAGATATTAATAATTCACCTAATTTTTTTCATCTTTCAGGTAAGGTAGCAGCAAAATCTCTGCAGTAGAGATGATATAAACATGCATTTTTAAACATTTTCTTTTCTGGGTGTGTTTTTGTTGGTTGTTTTTTCTTCCCATTAACGTAGCAAAGAGGACTGTTCTACTTAGAGAATTTCATTGGCTAAGAAATTTTATAATTTCAGTCAGGAAAAATAGTGTGCTAGGATAGAGCTTTTGGGGAAAGATGATCCTGCAAATGTTACCATTCAGGAATATCTTTGGAAGGGTTAGCTTAAGTATCATCTAGTCATAGTGGATTGGGGAAACTAGGTATATAGGAAAAAGCACAATGCAAAGGCTAATCAATTATATTGTGACTTAGTTGATAATTCCTTTCTTGTTCTTTTTCTGGGGTCTCATGGAAGTCTTGATGCATACTAGATGAGCAACAACAAAAATATCCCATGAGAGGCAAGGTACCAAAAGCTGGTATCCCACATACCAGAGGGTTCAAAATAGAACATGCGATCATATGTTTCTGAAACACTTCCAAGGAATTTTCTTGCAGTGGGTTTTGTGCAGTTGAATGTTGCTTGGATATTCAGAGTTGATACAGCAGCAGCAAAAAAAACACTTGTTTGGGATTTCTTTGGGTTTTTTTCTAGAATGGTTAGAGAGAAATTAGGTTGACAGGGTTCAACAATGCACCATCTGCAGTGCAAAGCAATGCAAACTACCAAGTGCAGGAAGTACACTTGTAGGAATATTCAGCCTGTGAAGACTCTTCTGTTTTCATGTTGAGTGCTTGTGCATGGTTAGCTTACTTCTTTCCTGCATCCCTCTACAGAATCAGATTGGCCACTCATCCTGGCAAGGCATCTGCAGTCTTCTGTCCAAAGTATGTCATCAACCCAGCTCTGCAGGGGTTGGAGATACATAGAATGTCATTAGACTTGAGAAGAATTTAATGGCATCTTTTTATATTTTGTGAGCAATGGTACAAATGTTAGAAAACCCTTGAAGAACCCTTCAGTATTAGCTGAATAGATAGTCAAGTCATGTGTGAAAGGTGAAGCATAACTGGACATTTAAATAACCCTGAATGCTGTGTATGAAGAGTTTCTTTCAAAGTGGGTGGCTGTTGTATAATGAGCTGCTGTGGGACTGGGTAGTCCTAAAAATTTACTCAGTTATTATGTGTTGTTCATCTTCAGGCAGGCATTCTGTGTTACAAATAATGTTCTCAGTAAAGACTAAAAAACTGCACAGCTGCAAGCTAGGTTTGCCTATTGAATTTCCAAAATAGTAAAAAAAGCCCACAGAGAATCATAATCCAGATATGTTTCAATTTCAAAGCACATGATGCTTGACTTTTTTCACCACAGGTGAAAAATGTACATTCTTGCTTTTTTATATAATGTTTTGAATGTGATAGATCCGAGTATAATACAGAAGAAAATACATACTTTTAAATTGTAGTGTAGTTTTATATGGCTAGCATTCTGTGTCACTTAGATTTGGAGTTCAACTGTGAGCTCATAACCTGAACTCTGTCCATCATGTTGAGGTATCTTTGTATTACTTTGTACAGAAAAACTAAGGCGTAGTCTTCCAAACCTGTCCAGGACATCTAACATCCAAGCTGAGTCTGTGAAAAACAGCAGAAGTGACTCAAACTTCCAAGTGCCAAATGGAGGAATACCTCGTATTCAACCTCAAGCCTCAGCCAGTAAGTACTTGACTCTTCAATCTGTATTTCAGAATTAAGTGACGGAACTCAGCTGTCTTTCAGTTTCATGGCGAAGATAAACATTAAATGCCACCTGGAGATGCTAATGTTGCTTTTTAATCATACCTGTGTGAATCTGCTTTTTTGGCACACAAAATCTGGTCCTGATTATATATTCAAAGTATGTCTGAATCTCTTATCTAAGCTATAATAAATTATTTTTTATAAGTATATGTAGAAGTACTATAAAGAGTATAACTACAGTATCTAAACATTTCAGAAACCATTTATTTTCTGTCATTTATAGAAGGTATAACACTCTGTACTGTTTAATTTTCTTTTTAGACTGCAAAAAATTAACAGGCCATGAAAAAACACATAGATGTTTATTGCTTTTGACTAGTGAAAGCTGATCTGAAATGCATTCATGCAAGTTTAAGCCTTGTTTGCAGTTTCTTTTGTTTTGCCATCTGCAAATTACATAGTCAGTTGCAGATTTTATTTACTTTTTTAAAATGTCAGTTACTTCTTAGAAAAGGTTTGGATTAACCTGTGTCACATGAAATAAAGTAGCCCATTGCTGTGCTAGGGGCTGCTAATTTGTTCAAAACTGAACTGCTGAATACCAGAATGTTGCTAATCTCACAAGTCTCTTAAAAATGGTGACCTTAAGCCAAAGCAAATGACACTTAAATATTCAGCGCTTCTTTATGCGTCAATATTGACAGTTGCTGTTGTTTAAATGTTTCCTGACCATTTTATTTTAAAATAAGTTTCAGAATTTAATAACCTTGTGTGACATTTTCAAGAGAAGAGCACATTATGAATATTATGTGTAGACCTTTGAACTATGAAACTTCTATGATAAAAGTTCATCAGTAATCTAAATATTTGACAGGAAATGTAAGGTAATATTTGTGAATGAAACTAACGTTTTTAATATTTTTGCCCATTGAATTATAAAGGCATGCTGGCCTGCCTAGCTGCCCTGAAACTAACGTTTTTAATATTTTTGCCCATTAAATCATAAAGGCACGCTGGCCTGTCTAGCTGCCCTTGTTAACTGGTCCTTTCAAAAGAGAGTGTTAATGCAACCAAATACAGTTAAATACAGAATAAAGAGTACAGACCATGCCAGTGACTACAAGATTTCTATCTTTGTAGTGACTCAGGCCAGATGGTCATGCAGACAGTCAATCCCAGGTGTGTGATACTGTAGCTAAAGAAGTTAGTGTGACCTTGTGATTGTTCATATAGGTTACCCCAGCTTCCTTTCACCTTGAGCCCTCTTTCCACTATTCACAAGCACTCAGAAGGTGGGATTTACAATGGAAAGGACCTTTTATTTGGGTCAAATACAGGACTGTTATCTGTTAGGCAGGTTTATCAAACTGTAAAGCACTTGGAGCAGTTGGGACAGCAGCTCTCCAACTGTTACTTTTGAGATAAGAAGAATAATCAAAATTACGTAAAAGAAAATGAAGGGGAAAAAAAGTGTATTCACATTGAAACTTTATGGAAAGATCAGAAAGCAGAAGTCTCAATATTCAATATTTAGTGAGTTATTTCAGTGCAGGAGCCAAGGAAGTCTGATGTATTTATACATATACGTATAATTTTTCCAACATGTGGATGCATTGAGAATCACAGAAATTACTACATAAACTTGCTTGCCTTTCATGGGAATCTTTCCCCATATATGAACCATTCTAGACCAGCTTACATTTAAATGTAAGTTAAGCATCATTAATGAAGCCCAGATTTCTAGCTTTTACAGTTTCCCTGCTCTTACAGATGTTTGTCAGAGTCTTGCTATTGACAATCGTAAAACGGTTTGTGTATGAAGTCAATGAGTAAGTATCTTTGCTTAGTCTGGAGTAAAAAAATTTTCTGCAAAACTACATTGTATAAAAATTTCCAGAATTGTGTCCTTTTTATAGTGTACTTTTTGTTTTATTGGTTTTATATTTTGTCACCTTGCACAAAGCACTGTTATATTGCAGCAAATTTTTGTTTTCCCTTGGCAATGACTTCTGTGTCTTGGGATTTGAAGCTTCCTCATATACCTGCTAGTTTTGCATGAGCTTACCTTTGCAAAGATGCTGGCTTGCCACCCGAGGTCACTACTTTTCTCCTTGTCAAAAACCTGCTGTTCATAATTTACTTGCACATTTGCTGTGGCTGCAGTACTGAACTTGCTATGGTTGCTGGCATTCAAAAATGAGTTAGGAATCCAGTGAGTTTCTGAAAAGACAGTTCCTGTTACATAGGCAAATTGTACACACTTGCTTAAAGAGTAGAGGAAAGTTGCATAAAATATGCTTAGAGGTACAAGTGTACAACATGAAAACATTTGGTGTTTCAAGATTGTGTGATGAGAAAAATACAATTATTTATTGAAAAGAGATTGAGTAAATTAAGTAGCAGTTGTAACTATCACAATCTTAATTTATATCTGATTGTTCAGTTATGCAGAAAGTACTTTCTGTATATGAAAGCTACTAAATATTTCACCTTAAAACACTGGCAGATAAAGTAATACTTATGTTCTCCAAGGAACAGAAATTTTACACTTTGAAGTGTTAAAATAACAGGAAGTCTCTATATTTGGACCCTACATTACCTAGATTGTGCAAAGCTGTAGACCATCTAGGATGACTTCCACACAGGAGCTATGTGCCTTCTAGTGGATGGTGTGTGATACTTAGCTGGGACCATTGGCACACGGATGTTAAATCTTTCAACAGAGTTAAATATAATACTTTTTCAAAGTGCTAAGTTGTCGATTGTTCAAGCTATTGGTAAAGTAACTAGTCTACTTGCCAAGATCCAGCTGCTTGGCATGTTGAGAGTAGAAAAATGTGTGTTTTGAGGTAACTGAGTATTCCAACTGAATAAATCAGAAGTAAACATAACTACACATATTCAGCACGCACCATTTGTGACATGCAGTGTAATAGTATATGGAGCACTTGAAGAGCAGCAAATAGTGTGGATAAGCACGCACTCCACGTTTATCTCAAACTGCGTGTTTCCTCAGCATTGCTCAGATTGCACTGCCTGAAGTTCTTTTCAGTGATTTAGTGCACAGAATTGTTTAGCTATTGACTCTATTTTCTGGATTCTCCATCGAGAAGGAAGGAATTTGATAAATATATTTTAAATGTTTCCTATGTTATTCCACATACCTGACTTGCAAGTAGGGTAAGTAATTGTGGAGGAAGAAATTTAGTGCCATGTGCTGTAGCATATTTAAATCCAACTGAATGAGTTAGGGAAAACTAAGTTAAAGATTATGAATATGAAAGAAGAAGCTGTTCTTCATTTTCTGTGGTATAAAAAAAAAAGACTGATTCAGTAAAAAAATAGTATACAGGAATATTTGTGGACAGAAACACTGGCCAGTGGCCTGCCTCACTAAATTCCTAGGAATTGTGCTCATTGTTAAGCATCTTATTGTGCTTAATTGGCTGTTAATGGGTATACTTTAAGTTTATAGCAAAAGGATGTGCCAGAAGTTGAACAAGAATTGCATATTGCCAAAAGCTTTTCTGCATTAGATTCTAGTTGGTAGAAGGAATAGGTTTTTTTATTCTCAATAGCCACAGGCAGCATTAGAATGCTTAGAAACACTTCAGTTCCTTTTTGCTGTTGGTTGAAAATTACAGATTTTAGTTAAGACCAAAATGAATAGACTGCGTAGTTGTATTTTCAGAATAAAGGTAAAACACACAAATTAACTTTTATAGTTCACAAAATATTGTGACTCTTGCACTGACTGAAGGATGGAAAAGGTGATAGTAATTGTTATATTACAAGTATTAAGTTTTTTAAAAGGATTAAATATTATTAGGATTCCAGCTGTTCCTCCCCTACCTTCTTTCTAGTGATATTCACCAATTGGTGATAGGATTTCTGAGCTTACTTACTCAGGGTGAGGATCTTTATGCAAAGCTGTTCCTCCATTCTCCTCCCTTCTCACTGTGAAAATAAGCCTTGCTAGTGTGATCAGTTCTATGCTAGTATAAAAAAACTCCATGCACTGGGGTGAGCAGAGATATTTATTCATACCTTATCATTTTGAGAAGCCTTTGTAGGCAAAGCTTTATTTCATTGATTACTTTCCTCCTTCTCCCCCTTAAGTATGTTGTGGGTGAAAATAAGCTGAGTCGCTGCGTTCCTTCTGGCAATAGGTAATTCTCTCCTTGCCAAGTTTCTGCAGCTCTTGGAACACTGGCTTCTCTCTTGGTAACTGGTAGGTAGTGAGATCATTTCAAGGCAGTATCAGCCCTTGAACATTACAAGAAAAAAGGCAGGGCGTAGGAGCAATAAAAAGCATTTTTTGTCATGCAGACTACATGCTGGCAGCTGATGATTCTTAATGTTATGTCTTCATTTTAAGCTTGAGCCCTCTTGCATACTTTTTGAGTGGAAAAAAACCCCAGGCATCTCTCAAAACAGCTTATGCTTGCATTACTGAAAAATACAACTTTTATAAGATGATGATCATATTTAGCCAAAGATTCATGCTTTTGTTTAGTGTTAGAATATTTTTTGAAAGCTCCTTTAAAATGAAAAGTTTAGTCTTGCTAGGTCAAATATGATGGTTTCATTTTCATCTTTGCCTCTAATCTTGCACTCATTGCTGTAGCATGTTTGCTAGATGGCTTGTACTGCCCTTGGTGTATTAATTTTTTTTTGCCTTTCTGGGCTTTTTGCCCTGCAAAAAGCTTTACTCTTACAGAATCTGCGCATTTTGCACTGTAAAATTTCTGACATGCTCCTTTGTAACTCTTTGTCATTAAGAGCAAGCACCATTTAAAAAACCCCACCACGTCCAGCTTTTTGAGTGTCTTACTCAGTTCCTTGATGCTTCACAAGTGGATGCAATTCTGAAATTCCCAGTAAATTTAGTTTTCTTACCTTCTTAGACAAATATAACACTTCTTGTCTTTCAACAGCTCTGCAAAGGCAGAAAAATTTGCCTCGTGCTGCCTTCAAAACCAAACAGTTTCTTCAAACTCCATCTACAAAAGGAGGTAATTAACTTGCAACCTCTTAACAAGCTCCAACAAATCTCAGATAATTATTCACCTTCATTAAAGCTCACATATTTGAAATTAATAAAATTGCTGTTGCATGTTGAGATTAACCAAGTGGTCCTTGCTGTAAGAAAGTTAACTTTTTGGTCTAAACATTAAAAATACAACCTTGTGTTATATTGGAGGAGAAGTTTTAAATTGAATTTTTAGATAAAATCCAAGGATTGGTCACTTGTACCATTAACCAGGAAATTTGGATTAGAAAAGTAGACTCCTGAGTCCATATTCATTAGGGGTACATTTGGATAGAAATTTTTAAAATCATAAAATACAGTTTTTAAAACAAAGGTTGTAAAAACTGTTCTCTTTTTGATTGTGTGAAAATATGCACGCAAGTTAAAACATCATCCTTTGTGCTGCACACAAGCTATCTTTGAAAGGATGAACATGAAATGTCAGCGTGTTTTACACATACATGTGCAAGTGCTTGCACTTTCTCTTTTCCTCTCAAAACTAGATTATTAACCCCAACATATGATAACTTAGATTTGTGCATTTTTTTTCTGAAGAAATTGGAGGGTATTGTATATGATGTTACAGTTTGCTAATGGCTGAAGTTGGTTTCTTTTTAAGAAGAACATGATGCATAATTGAGTCTGATCTAACTGTACAAGTTTTAGCTGATGTTTAATTCTGGCAGCCTTGTATATGACACTGCCTCAGTGTCACTAGTAAGATAAAACCAAGTTAATTATTTTGGTTTTAAGCATAGTTGGTCCTGTTGTCTATGACAACCTAGAAGATCTCATTTCAAAGATCCTGTTTCACTTGAGACCAATTCATAAGCTCTGTATATGCTGGAATCCTGTAAGGATTGTTAGAGTTCTCCATGCTGATACTGAGACCAGCTGACTAAATGTATGCATTTCTCCCTGTAGTTTAACAATGCAGACTTACGTGAGTCAATTTCATTCCCTGCAGAAAGATTCAGAAACCTATCATTACTTTGGTTTAACAGGAGGTCTGTCTTCATATTTCATAACAAATGGAGAAAAGTTTTCTCAGTGTTCGGCTTTGGCATAATAGTCAGTTGTCAGGGTTGGAAGGGACCTCTGAAGATCATCTAGTCCAACCCCCCTGCTATGGCGGGATCACCTACAGTAGGTCACACAGGAACATGTCCCAAATGGGTTTTGAATGTCTCCAGAGAAGGAGACTCCACAACCTCTGTGGGCAGCCTGTTGCAGTGCTCTGTCACTCTCAGAGTAAAGAAGTTTTTCCTCATGTTTAACTTGAACCTCCTCTTCTCCATCTTGTGCCTATTGCCCCTTGTCCTGTCATTCGACACTGCTGAAAAGAGACTGATCCCATCCTCCAGACACCCGCCCTATAGACACTTATAAGTGTTTATGAGATTGCCCCTCAATCTCCTTTTCTCCAGGTTAAGCAGACTCAGCTCTCTCAGCCTTTCCTCACAGGGCAGATGTTCCATTCCACATCTCAATTCCTCTGCAAACCTTTGCTGTCTTTCCAGTCGGCTGTGCCTGCACCTTCATCTGGATGTGTCTGGAATGCTGATTAGGTTGATGGCCTAGTCTAAAGATGTGGAAATGTACAGAATATTAACTTCTTTGAGTTCATATTATTTGTAAAATAATAGAGTGAGGAACCATGCACGTTGCACTGCTAGTTATGTATTCCAGGTTAGAGTTGCTATCCTTCCTCACTGCAAGTGAGGACCCAGCATGACCTTTTCAGTTATTTGCTCTTGTATAGTCCTTGATGTGGTAATTTTCTTTCTTCTGATCAGAGATTCTCACAAGTATGGAAGCATTATGCAGTAATTAAACAAGACTTTTGTTTCAAAAGAATAAACAACTGTGAGCAACAATTAAAAATACTGTTCATTATGTTGCTTGACACCTTTCACACATGGATGGTGACATGTTTTCACCATTTTGTGTAGAACAGTTCAAAGCACATTCAAGTAACTCACTGTAACCAATTTGTTAAGGCTTATACAGCAATCCAGTATCAGTCAGATCACACAATAGTTTGGGTCATCTCATCCACCCCCACTGCAGTGAGTGGGGGCATCTTCAACTTGGTAGGGTTACTCAAAGCACCGTCCAACATGACCTTGAATGTTTCCAGAGATGGGACATCTACCATCTCTAGGCAATCACTTCCAGTGGTTTGCTACCCTTGTCATAAAAAAAAAAAAAAAATTCTTCCTTGTATCTAGTCTGAATCTACCTTTTTGGTTTTAAACCATTACCTTTTGCCCTACCACTGCAGACTCTGGTAAAAAAAAGTCTGTCCACATCTTTCTTAAAAGTCCCCTTGAAATACTGAAAATCCACAACAAGTCTCCTCAGAACCTTCTCTTACGTGTTTGTGTTTTCATTAAACATGGGTCAGCTCAGCACTGCACATGGGAATACAGTTACCAGTCTTTGACTAAAGCCATATCTCACTCTGTGATCCTGATTATAAATGGGCCACACTGAGTTGTATTAAATATCCAAAACTGCTCTAAGACAAAATTCTTCATATGTAGAGCAGAATTATTAGGCAGTTTGCCAGAGATTGCATCATGTGGGCTGCTTTGGAGATCACAGCACATTGGAGGACAATTCAGTCCTTTATATACACAAATGAATACAGCTCTCAGCAATGCCCACAATGCTGTGCTGACAGGAAATGTTTTGTGAATTGACAGCTCAAGTTGGAAGTGTGGTAAAATATGGTCAACAGAAAACTGGAGAGAATGGAGAGGACTAATTTACTGGATGCTTGCTTTCACTGGGAATGTGACAAGCTTTCTTCAGTTACAACTTTTCATTGCTTATATTCAGGACCAAAAAACCTTCTCCCTTTGTAAGAGGCCCAAAGCTGTATTAAGTTTTCACATACTGATATTGCTCTGTTAGGCAATTGCTAACATGATGCTGTATTTGTGTTCTCAGCAAATGTTGTCATGAGAAGCTTCATGGTAAAAGTTCCCTATGTTTCCTATGTTTACACTGTAGAATCACTTGGAAATTCGGCATTCAGTTGCTCCAATGTTACAGGCAATGTCACATTTTAAAAACATCTGATATGTAATATATCTTAGTCCTAGGAGCACCTTGCTGCTGCTCTTGTTCAGTCATTCTGCTGTTAATGCTTTCCTTAATCCATCCTCTGGCTTGACACCAAGGTTCTTACTTTAAGAGTTTTTATTTATTATCCTTGCTATTTACCAGTTGTTATATATTGTTGACATCTCTGCCACCTTTTTGGTCACCTTCTCCACAAATGGCTTCATGCTGTGTTAGATATCACTGTCAGTGGAAAACCCTCCTTGGATAATCTAAAAAGGAATTCACATCTGTACTGAGGCACATGTTAATCTTCCTAGACATCCCCTATAAGAAATTCCTTCAAAATACAACCTGAAAATTGCCACTTCCTCTGTACCCCTTTTAGGATGCTGTATTCTTGTCACTACTCATCCCTTTTCTCACTCCTCATGCTCTTAGTGGATCTAACTTGTAAAATAATAATAAAAACTATGTGAAGGACCATCTTGTTTATGTACATCATCTGACAGAGAGGGGACAACTTTGGTCTCTGTATAAAAAGTTTGTTTAGTGGAGGAAAGAATAGTTCATGCAAATGTGATTTTGTTACTTTCCTGACCATTACTAACCCACCCTAATTAGTTCAAAAAGCTGGTGGAATTTCATCTAAAAATTAATAGGATAGTTTATTTTAAGTATTGCATTTAGTGGTTATAGATTATTTGAAAACATTTCTCATACTTGTGAAGAACTGTGCTTAAGGTTTGGCAGTGTTAAAAACTGTTGAATATCCTGGCTTATAAGAACTTGATAAAGGCCTTGCATGCTAACTCAAATACAATATCTAAATACAGATATTATTATACTGATAAATTAGATAGTGTTTGTAAGAGGAGGAAGGCTATACATTGTTACAGTTGTCTGGTATAGGTTTCATAGCAGCACCTTAATATCTTTGCTGTTGGGGGTTGGCTGACCCTATCTCCCCACCCCGATCAGCCAGTAAATCTGGCATCTGACCATATCTTTAGGTGATTTTTAATTCAGTTGATTTGGTTAAAAAGAGCAGCATAAAAGAAACACTAAGATGCTCTGCAGTCAAGATTTCATCATTGAAGGCTAATGTACACTTTGAATCTCTTTAAAGACTTACCACACCAGAATACTGTATTCAACATGTTATTTGAGGAATGGAAATTGTATGTTCCGAAAGCAGTTAAATTTCTTCTTAACAAATACATTCTCTACATTTCTTTTGAACTGACTGATATAATCGTTAGACCCTTACTAGTATTACTTATAAATCCAGATAAATAAATATTTGTAGTAAGCAAATGGGTCATGAGTGTTATGATATCAAAAACACATGACAAAGAGGACATCTGAATTCCTGTTTCTCATTGCTGCTTGATTGGCTGAATTCCATTATCCATTCCATATTGTTCGAATATTCACATTAAATAATTTCCTGGCTTTAACTTCAATTATACTGTAACTTAAGCTTGAAAGTAACTCCTGTATTTTATTTTCCAGTACCTTCTTCAAGTAAATTCCGCTCACCTGCAGCACCGTCTCCCCTAGCTCTCCGACAACCAGTGAAAGCATTTAGTAACCATGGACCTGGTTCAGTTGCTTCTCCAGAAGCCACACAGCTGCCACACAGTAGTTCTTCACCAGGGCCTCTTGCAGCCCAGAGTTCAGGCTTGCCAAGCCCTGCCAGCAGTATTAACAGCACTACTCTTACCAGACCGGCAGGGACAGCAGGGATGAGGAGTGGTTTGCCCAGACCCAGTGCCCCTTCTACAGGGGGCATCCCAGTGCCTCGTAGCAAACTTGCACAGCCTGTTCGCAGGTGAGTAAGTGACTGGCAGCCTTCATTTGAAGTTCTCTCAGTGAATTTTGAACGTGTCTGTTTGTGCTGGTCCTTCCTGCAATTACTGTGTTATCTCAGGGTCTTCAGAACAGAAATGGAGACCTCCATGTGAAATATTCTCCTATGTTTCCAAAATCGTTTTGAAGCAAAACCAAAAGGTTCTTGAGTTAGAGAGTGAAAGTGAGTAACAAAGGACGCTGAACTAAGAAAATAAATTTAATAGGAGCAGAGTGCAGTTGTCCAAATCACAACTTGCCTTAAAAGTGTTTCACTTACTAAACTTAGCTATTTTTTGTGGAAGTTTGCATACATAATGCAGTATCTGTACACTGTGCAATAATGAAGTATCTATGAATGTCAAGATTTTGAGGTAAGCAATATGTAATACTCTAAACAAGGATTTCCCTGTTTATACATCAGTGGGGACAAAATGGCCTGTTTTTGCATGGCAGTGGATTTGTATTTTCACAGAATTTAATAGCCAAATGTTTTCTGTCTGTGCAGCTGTTTTTCTGACATGCTAATTGCCAAGATACATTAACACACAGAACCTGAATCTTCAGGGTTTAAGTTAAGTAGACTGTATTGCAGAGAAGTAATAGTATTTCAATTATTTATAAAATATTTACATTCTTAGGTATCGTAGATGGAGACTTCAGCAGTTAAGTATGAAACTAAAAAATATATCTCCTTTTATTTTAGATCATTACCTGCTCCTAAAACCTATGGCAACGTGAAAGACGAGAGTTGGAAAGATGGCTGCTACTGAACTGCAAAGCTTAATGCAAAGTTCCAGTGCTCATGGATGCTTCCTCACCAGGCTAAAAGACAGCTTGATTATACAAACTGTTCAGATGTGACTTTTGGGATTTGTAAAAATTCCAGACCTCTCTGTCTCTAATTAGCACAAACTGACAGAGATTATAAAGCAGCACTTTAATGACATCTAACATCAGATGTTTGGTGATCATACAATCACTTCTACATTAAATTGCTATCAGTTCTGGGGTTCTTCTCTTGCTTGCTAAAAATGTATCAGTACGAGCATTTATGACAGTGGCTGATGTCTGGGCAGAAACCTAACAAATGCCAAAGAAATGCCCATCTTGAAAAACAGCAAGTATAACAGTCAACTTATGTTGTCCAAAACTTCATTTTCAGCCTGTTTTAATTCAGCAGAAAGATTGGTGAATATGTACTGTTGAAACAGGACTATGTCAGTCAAAGTTAAGATTCTGATTGGAGACTGCTACAGTGCCAGGGAAAGATAGCATTTAACCATTGTATGAGGTTCTCATTGGGGAAAGTGGTACGTGCCTCCTTCAGGAAGAATCAGAAGTTTAACTCTGGAGGATTAGGCTGAACAGTAAGTAGTAGCCATGGCTTTTATTAACTTTAAAGGTTTGAATGTAGCAGAAACACACAAATGCAATAGTATAGCTTGCATCTTTCCTATGTTGATTTATCATGCTCTTGTATGTTTGATTGACAAAAGGGCTTAGTATCAGTTGTACAATCTTTCTAACCTTAAAGTTCCCAGCTCAGGAAAGATGGCCTTTGCTACTGTAGTCACATTTTTAACACATGGCTTGCTATTTGGGGAAAACTCTTCATAGCAGGTTTCCTTACAAAGGAAAGAGCAAGTTGTAATGTTTGTTTGTTCTGATACCATGTCACTATGCTTGCAGCCTGGAGCAACCGTAAATGCTGATAGTTAAGGAGAAGGAAACACAACTATGCACTTGTAACATACAAATTTTAAGGTAATGAGTTGACTCTTGATGCCAAATGATATTCATTTAGGTGATGTTCCATGGTATGTGGGAGTTTTCTGTATCCTATTTTTTTACTTTCATCCATTTCTTAAATTGGGTTATTTTAAATTGTAAATATTTTTACAGAAGATATTGCCCATTTACGTGTGTTTAAATATGTACTTTGCCTTATGTATGTGTATCTTACATTACTGGTAACAGAGTATGAAACCTGCAATGTCTGTTTACAAGCTATTAAATTCCGCTGGTGGCTCTGACTTACTCTTAACACATTTTGCTCAGAACAAACCTATATTTAGCATTTGAACCATTGTTTCTGTTCTGAAAGACATCATTCAAACATTTGTAACTAAAGTTGGATGGGTGGGACTAGCTAATTTGAAGGGATGTTTGAAGCTTTTTTGGTATTTTGGATGTACAGTTGAAGTAAGAGAATGTGAATGGTATATCGTTTGTGCAATGACTGATGAACACTACAAGCTGGAATGGGTGGTAGGTAGCCTTCAACCCCATTAGTAGCAGTGTTTGGAACTGCTGGTGTATTTTGACTCCCACCACTAGGAAGATAACTAACCCTGAAATTCTAGCACTTGAATTTTAGGCCAGCATTAACATATCCCTGGATGAAAAGCCATGCAATACTACTTGATTTGGAAGAAGCCAAATAGGAAGGAGACTAATTTGCAGCTCTTATTACTCAAGCAAATTATGGGTTGATGGATGACTTCACACTCCAGACTAAGATCTGTGCTGAGACTTTGAAGTCAGGGTATCAAATATACAGTAATTCAGCAAGATTTCAGCAGGGGTAAAGAAACTACCTTGTGCCAGCAGACCAGCACATATGACTAATCTATTCATCTTGTGTGGTTTGCTGACACAGATGATGAGTGTCGGTATCTCCTGTCATGATGAAGCAGAAGAGAGGACTAGATCAAATGCACATATTCTCACCAATGCCCAAACTTTTAACATTTCAGCCTTTCACAAAGCAAGGCTGCAGTCTTCATTGGGAAAAGGTAAATTGTAATTGATGGATTTTATCAAACACTTGATCGACTTTTAAATTTTGAAATTCATTTTAGATTACAATGTTGGGGGTTTTATCATGGCTGCATCAAACTGCTGTGTACATTTCCTTAAGTAATTCATCACTTTGGATAAATTCAGCTTAAGTTTTATAAGGATTCTTTTCTTTGCTCTTCTCCCCTGAAAAGCAGCAAATGACTTCTTGAAAAGACAGGCTCTGTTTACTAGAAAGCCTTTGTGCATTACCAGTTTATTGGTATCAGGAAATCATGGGACTCTGTGTTTAGAGATTTACTGCAGAAGTGTGGAAATATGGATTTGATAAACTAGTGCCTATGATTTACTTAACTTATGTTTGATATAGTAGTAAGGGGTTTATGAATGTGGATTACTTTTTGTGCCAACAGCTCGGAATTGTTGTATGTGTGTAGGCAGAAAGACTTGTTCTGCTTCCAAAGTTATTTAATTTTTTTGTTTGAATGTTTTTGTAAGTGTTAAAAGTGTAAAAAAAATATAAAATATTCTTACCACAAAATACTTCCTGGATCATTATTTTTATAACAAATTATTTTTAAAAGCCTTCAGTAATTTAGGAGATACAGGATTTTTTGGTTGGTTGGGTTATTTTCAAGAACCATATTCACTTTCCCAGAAGTTACTAACATCAGCTTCTGCCTCCTGTAATGCATGAACTGAATACAACAATACTGTGTTTGTGTGAAATCTGGGATTTTGTTCACAGACAGAGGTGGGCTTGTGTTGTGCCTCTGCTCTGGAAGGGCAGTTCATAATTCAGAGATATGTGAAAAACTGTGTTCAGAATTTTCACTGAGAGTGAAAGTCAAAGTACAGGATTCATGCTCACTGCAAACCACCACATGAAACAAATTTTGAATTTTGAACATTCTGGAATTTATGCAGAAAATTGAGTAGTGGAAAAGTATACCTTGTAAGCTGCTGTCTTTCAGTTTTTAAGTACACGTTTTCTAGCTCATATATGAATGCCTCTACCTTTTGGCTCACAAACAAGAAGTTTGTTTTGAACTTGGTGACTTTTTGTAATTTGCCTTCTTCTACAAAGCAACATATGCAATAGTAATGTGAATGCCATCTTTTTCTTACCTTAATAAAGTTAAGCCAGGTTTACTTCTATTTGGTGGACACTTAATATTAAATCTAACAAAATTTAACATGTGAGGCTTGTTTTTAATTGTTTCTCCCAGCATAGTCCCCTATGTTTTAATTAAGCCAGTACATTAAAATGTTTCCTCCTAGTTAACTGACCTACTTATGTAGAGCTGGCGCCACACTTCTGCTTCTAAAATGTTATAATAGAATCACAGAATGGTTTGGGTTGGAAGACACCTTAAAGATCATCTAGTTCTAACCTCCCTGCATGGGCAGGAACCCCTCCCACTAGACCAGGTTGCTTAAAGCCCCATCCACTCTGGCCTTCAACACTTCCAGGGTGGGGGCATCCACAACTTCCCTGGGCAACCTGTTCCAGTGTCTCACCACCCTCACACTGAAGAATTTCCTCCTACTGTCTAACCTAAATCTCTCCTCTTCCAGTTTAAAGCAATTATCCCTTGTCCTCTCACTAGATGCCCTTGTAAAAGGTCCCTCCCCAGCTTTCCTGTAGGCCCCTTCAGAGTCTCCCCAGAGTCTTCTCTAGGCCGAACAACCCCAACTCTCTCAGCCTGTCTTCCTGTTTCTGACAAAGATGTTAAACAGCACTGGTCCTGGTACCAGCTCCTAAGCACTGCCACTTGTCACTGGTCGCCACTTCTACTTCACTACTACTCTATGACTATCCAGCCACTGAGTGGTCTATCTATCGAGTCCATATCTTTTACTCCTAGGAGTCCAATGGCAATGGTAAAGAAAAGCAAGCAATGAACATGTAAGGAGGCAGAAGGTTGAGGCTGCTTATGCTGCTGAAGTCTTGGGTGGCTGCAGAGCACACAGCTTTGATTATTTAAAGCTCATATTTTAATATTATTTCTGAGAAATGGATGTGGGAAACTTAAATATGACAGCAATATATCTTTAGTTCTTCCTCTCTTGATCTGTAAGAACAAGAGTGAACTAGAGATAGTTTACTTTTTAAGTAAAACAAGTATGATGTGAGGTTGCTTTGATTTAAAAAAATAAAAAAATTATCCCTTGTCCTCTCACTAGATGCCCTTGTAAAAGGTCCCTCCCCAGCTTTCCTGTAGGCCCCTTCAGAGTCTCCCCAGAGTCTTCTCTAGGCCGAACAACCCCAACTCTCTCAGCCTGTCTTCCTGTTTCTGACAAAGATGTTAAACAGCACTGGTCCTGGTACCAGCTCCTAAGCACTGCCACTTGTCACTGGTCGCCACTTCTACTTCACTACTACTCTATGACTATCCAGCCACTGAGTGGTCTATCTATCGAGTCCATATCTTTTACTCCTAGGAGTCCAATGGCAATGGTAAAGAAAAGCAAGCAATGAACATGTAAGGAGGCAGAAGGTTGAGGCTGCTTATGCTGCTGAAGTCTTGGGTGGCTGCAGAGCACACAGCTTTGATTATTTAAAGCTCATATTTTAATATTATTTCTGAGAAATGGATGTGGGAAACTTAAATATGACAGCAATATATCTTTAGTTCTTCCTCTCTTGATCTGTAAGAACAAGAGTGAACTAGAGATAGTTTACTTTTTAAGTAAAACAAGTATGATGTGAGGTTGCTTTGATTTAAAAAAATAAAAAATCCTACCTACTCTTGTGTTCTCACTGTCAGTTCTGTAGTACAAAGCTGACACCTACAGGCAGTCTATTGGTAGCCATCTTGTTTCAGGAAATGAGGCTGGAATTCAGGTGCTCTCCAGAGTATCCATGTTTTACACACAGCTGCACAGAAATGAAGATGCTCTCTGCTTGAAGGGTTAAAGAACTGAAAGAAGCAGGTTCCATTAGACTCAATTTCACAGGATTGTTTTATAATGGTATTTTCAGCCCTCGTATCTCGTTCAGCTGTGCTGCGTGGCCCTGTCCTCTACATTGAATGATAAAACTCTGGTGACTAAGCACTTAGAGGACACAAAACATGACTGTAGTGATTAAACTGAGTTATGGATCTTCAGTGGGATTAATCAGGTCTCATGTGAATTGTAACTCATTTCTGAAAACACCAGCATTTCTTGGTCTACCATCACTATTTTCTTACTACAAATAGTTGGTGAAATTAATCAAGTAGTATACTTCTCTGTTGGTTTCTACATAAACTTGCTTGTTTGCATTCAAGGAAAGAGCATTCATAGAGCAATTAAACTAGTTTACTTCTGTAAGAAGCCCAGTTGTCTTAAAAAAAATTGAAGTGGTCCATGTTAGGGTTTGGGTTTTTTTTTTCACATTAAAACTCTATATATAGTAACAGGAAGGTGCATAAGGATACTTATGCTGTGTTGTTCCCCTTCTCTGTCCTGCCTAAGAGAAAATGTAGCATATTAACGTGGGACTGGTCATCAGTGACTTCATGTGGGCCTCTGCATGGCCTTAACTGCTTGACGCTCTGTAAGTGAACAAGAAATGTTTGG